TCCAGATAGTTTGTTCAAGCAAAGATTGAAATCAGGCTGAGGCATAATCAAAGCAGACCCACAGATATCACTGGTTCATAGTCAGGTAGTCATACTGATTTCAATGAGTCCATTCTATGACTAAGTAGGGAGCTAAAATATAGATGATAGATTTGATCCTCCATATCCACAGATTATGTATCCATGTTTTCAAATATCCATGGCTTACAAATATTTTTCAAAAAAAAAAATCCAAAAGGAAAATCTTGATTTTGCCATTTTATTTAAGAGATATTATTTGTTAAAGAAATTATATATAATGGGACTTGAGCACCATGTATTTTGATATTCACAGTAGGTGTGGGTGGCTCTGGAACAATATCCCAGCAGATAACCAAAGGTTCCCTGTTTATAATGTGTAATATACAGTTATAATTTCTTTTCTGACTTTACAAACACCTAGACTAAAATGGTTTGGGGTAATTTTTCAATTTACTGTTCTTTTCCTCTTAAAATACATACAGTCACTTCAGAATCTGAAGTTTGAGGGGGTGGAGAAATATGAGCTTCTCAGAATTAGTCCTGTTTCCATCTCAATCCTGTTGCACAAGTTTCTGAGGCTGCATTAATAGCACACACAAGGCAAGGGGAAAGTAAAGATACAAAGGCTATTCCATGCAACAAAAAGGCAAACATGGATTTCTAGTCTATTATGGGTATGGGAAATTTACATTATCCTAGTATGGAATGCCCTTTAGTTGCTCATTGTAAATGTTAATCCCCTTAGGTCAGTGAAAGTAAATAATTCAGCCCACTAGATTCCTTAATTCTTTCACATTCTGAATGAAGTGAATAGCAATTTTAATGTTTAAAAATCCATATAAAAGAGGGAAATGGAATAATTTATACTTCACCGTTTATTATCCTTTCTAATAAGCTGGGTTCTGCTTAGTAAACTGTGTCTTAGTGTGAGATGCAGCTGGAAGTAAGGCTATTTGATATCTGAGTGTTAGCATATGATTGTGGACCATGATATTTTGCACAGGGGGAGGATGGTGCCAGTCAAAAATGCTATTGGCAGAAGTCATTCTGTTCCATAACAAAGTTAACTCTAGCCAGCACCACATCTGGACTATTAGTGGGGAACTTGGGATGTCTTGCAGTGGTGCAATGTTTCACACTGGGAAACTATGCAAGCAATTGCTTAGTTACTCATCTCTGTTCCTGCTACTGCAACTAAAGAGGCCCATAAGGAACTGGCATGTTGTCGGATTTAACAACCGGGAGGGTCCCCAAAGCCACAGAGTCCTGCCCTAAGTTCTTACTAATGCTGAAAATGAACAAGTGAAGTCAGATAAGAAGTAACAGCATCTATTTTAGTACCTATTAAACCAGGAAGGAGTAACAGAATTTAGCACCATAATAATGTGACTTGGTATGCATCTACACAAGTAATGCAGTTTGATACCACTTTAACTGCTATGGATCATGACTAGAATTCTGTGATTGGGGCATGATGGGGCATCAGCACTCCTTGACAGGGAAGGCTAAAGATATTGTAAAAATACAGCTTGATAATTGCACAGCATTAGGCCATGATGATGTCAAATTACATTAAATCTACACTATAGATTAGGATACGCTTTCGGGTGAATCTTGACCTGTTTCATGTCCCAGATTTCGGTGGGGACCCCAGTTCAGTTTTTGGGTGCCTCCTGAAATCAGGAAGGCAAATATCTGTTTTTGCTCTGGGGTGCCAAAAGATCAGTTTTCTATTGGCCCATTATGGGGAGGGAGCTTCCCATGCTCACTCAAGGAGGCATGGAGTGCCACATGCTCACAGAAAGCAGATGAGGAGCCAGGATTGGCTCCCGCTTGCTTTCATGTCGAGCTGATTTTTGTACCGGGAGGGGCCTTCCCATTTTGAGCTCCTGAAGGTAACAAAAGAATGGATGAAATGAAGGAAAATGGTTCTGTGCACAGCTCTACTACAGATGCATCCCAGGAGGCCGGTCATTCAAGTCAACTTAGTAGCAAAAACCAGCTGTTGATAGAAGATTGGAAAGGAAAGCAAATGTCCCAGCAATCCCCTCCCAAAATTATTTCCTCAACAGCCAGTATAGTGTGGTGGCTTGAAATTTGGACTGGGACTCTGGTAGACCAAAGTTCAAACACCTGCAAGGTGAGCTCAAAAAGGCAGGCTCTCTCAGCTCTTGTAGGGAAAACAATGGTCAACTCCATTTGAAGAAATTTGTTAAGAAAGCCCAACTTGATGTAGCAATTTGAGTTTTGGTCTAGAACTCTGGGTTCAAATCCCTGATGGGTTACCACATTTATTTATTTATTAGCATCTTCAATGCCGAGGAGCTTTCCTCCAATCGAGGTCCTTTTAAGGCTGCTTTTATTACCTCCGCACTAAGAATGGTACCTATTTTATCTACTTGCATTTCTGCTTTCAATCTGCAAGGTGGACAGGTGAGCTGGGGCTAATGACTGATGCTCATGCTGCCCGGGTTCAAACTACTGACCTTCTGATTGGTGGGATTTTTCTGTAGCACTACTGTGCTAAGCCCAGCCCTTAAGTCACACACTCTCAACCTCAGATTATGGCAATCTCCCCTTGAAGAAATCTTGCCAAGAAACCCCTATTATAGGTAGACCTTAGAGTCACCATATGTTGGAAGCTGGTCACTTGAAGTGCCTCTGGTGTTGATATAAGAAGGTCCTCCACTGTGCATGTGGCAGGGCTCAGGTTGCATTGTAGTACGTGATCTGTGGTTTGCTCTTCTCCACACTGGTATGTCGTGGACTCCACTTTGTGCCCCATTTCTTAAGGTTGGCTCCGCATCCCGTGGTGACAACACAGTTGTTCAGCACATTCCAAGTCGCCCAGTCTGGTATCAGCCATGGATTGAGGTTCCGGGTTTTAGCCTGCCACTTTTAGACTCTCGCTTGCCGAGGTGCTCCTGTGAGAAAACTACCTTGGGCTGGATACGTTTTGCTCCTTTTATTATTGGCTGCTACTCCCTGGAGGATGTCAGGAGAATTTTCCATAAGAACCTTTTGCCTCTACTGCACACGAAAGGACATAGAAGTGGGAGGTAAGCTGCAAAAGGGCCCTTTGGCCACCGCAATTCTGTGTCTCACCAGGACCCCCTGCAGTTGCCATTAAGGGGGCATGTTAGCACACTCCTGGCAAAAGGAGGGCCCTCGAAATTCCGGCTTTAAAGCTGAGAGGAGACCCTGTGGTCCTCACTCCTCCTGCCTGCCTGCCTGGCCCTTTGGGATTAAGCTGCCAATCACAACCGAGCCCAGGGGCTTCTCAACTCACAAGGGCTTCATTGACTATTGAGGGACGCCGCACAACAAGGCTGCTGTTAGCCTCAGGCAGGCACACAGAGGAGCCTTTTCAGCGACAGCAGGAGGAGTCTGGGGTGCCAGGGAGCCGTAGCTTTGCCTACCTTCCATTAGAAATAAACAGAATAGTAATAATAATAATAATAATTAGCTACTCCCTCCGGGCCACCTTCAGGGCGCACAGTTTTGGAGAGGAAAGGGACCTCGTTGAGGAGGAGTGAAACGCCCACCCATTAGCCAGCTTGGCAGTTTCTCACCTGGAAGAGAGGGAGAGAGTCCCTCTGCTATTTGGAGGCGGGCTCTTCTTCTTTGACCAATCAGGAAGAAGGAAAGAGAGGGGGGAATAAAAGCGCGCTTGGGTTAGGGAACCCTACATGGGGATTGCCCGCCCATAAGAACTAATAGGCTTGCCTTTGTGCGGCAAGGAGGGGAAGCCCCGACGTTTCCTGACTGAGAAAAGGCAGACAGACTTCTCAAGTCGGGGGAGGGAACAGAAAGGGTATCTAGACGTGTCATTTACTCCAAATCATTTGATCCACTCTCCCTTCACGAAGTCCCATTGATTCTTAGGCAGCTGGGCAAAGGGAGGGCGCTCTGCACATGCGTTGGTGAAAGGCTGGAGTCAGACGCTCCGCAGCCGCAGTTCCTTCGGATCTTGTTGGGATGGGAAGAGTGAGCTTGGCTGCCGCAGCAAAGAGGGGCAAAGGAGGGGGATCTTTCCCACTTGGCCAAGGAATCTCGATGTCTTTCCTGCGTCTCTTGGGAAATCTCCTACTTGCCGCTAAGCCCACCTAAATACTATAGCCCAGGAAACGCGGGTTCGATTAAGTCGTCGGTATCCTATTCCAGTGTATCGTCTCTCAGATTTCCTCCTGAGGGAAAAAGGGGGCTCTCAATCTATCCCTCACTCCGGGCCAAAAGCCAACACGGATTCGCTCATCGTTTGACTAATCCCCATTTTGGGAGGGCGGAGGAAACCCATTGCAGGTCCACGGCGTTGCCTGCCTAACTGGGGAGCTGGGATGAAGAAAGATCACGCCAAGTCGGGACTCATTCATGCAAAATAAAATAAAATAAAATAAAATTGCGCAGGGAGGTGGGGTACAAGTTGTGGTCCCCTTCCATCTGAAGTCCTTAGTCGAGCTGCCCCCAAACGAGCGTCACAAGGAGTTCACTCACTCTTAGGGCGCTTTCAAGGTTCATTGATCCCCAAAGTCTGTTTTACTCGCCTTGACCAACGCCTCCCGGACCGGCAGCTGCCATGGATCAAGCAACGTGGTGAGGCCCCCGAGCGCGCGCGCTTCTTGCCCATGCCTAGTTGGAATCTACCAGTGCTTTTAAAAGAAATATAAAGAGGGGGGTTTAGCTGAGCTAATCAGGGTGGGGGGGGGAAATGAGAGGAGAGTGAGTGGCGGATCTAGCCCCCAAGTGGGTCTCAGGATCCTTCCAGGAGAGAAGTTACTAAAAGAGGGAAAGAGAAGGCATCAAGGAAGCAGGGAGGCTCTCTCTCTCTCTGGGTCTCTTTCTCTCTCTGCCTCGGGTGGGGTTGGCTGGACGGCCTCCGGTGGCCGAGTTCCGAGGGCCGAGGCGAGGGGGAAAAGCGGCGCGGCGCCTTTAAAGGCCTCTGCGCGGAGCTCGCGGCAGGAGGCGTGTCCGTGTCTCTCTCTCACTCTCCCGCGCGCGCTCTCTCTCTCGCTCCGGAGCCCCTTCGCCACGGAGCTCCGCGCGCCTCGCCTCCTCTTCCTCCTCGCCTTCCTCCCTCGCCCTCGACGGAGCCCCAGAAAAGCGCAGGCAGAGCGGAGCGGAGGGGAGACAGAGCTGCCGGAGCAGCAAGCGAAGGTAAGGGAGCCCCTCCAGCAACCAAAGGCAGAGACTCACAACTGGCCGGGTACCTTGGCAGGAAACTGGGAGAAGGAAGGAGGGAGGAGGGGTGAGGTGTCCCCGCAGACATCGGGCTGGATGGGTGCTGCAGACACTTTGCAGGGAGGGGGAAAGGCGCTGCCCAGGCTCCTTCAAGAAAGCAAGCAACCTGGCCAGAAAGGGCGACCCTACCACATCCAGAGGCAGCCCCGGTGTCCCTTCCTCTGCCCTTCTCCCTTCCGGTGGCAGCGCTCTCCCTTTCTTTCCCTCCCTGTCTCAAATGCCAGGGCTCACTTACTTGGGAGTTGGAAAGAGCTCACAACCACCAATCAATGTCTTCACTCACAACCTCCGAGGATGCCTCTCCCGGAACGTCAGGAGAGAATGCTTCTAGAACATGGCCAGACAGCCCGAAAAACTCACAACAACCCAGTGATTCCGGCCATGAACGCCTTTCTCCCACCCTGGACTTGCCACAGATATATAAACACAATTTCCTAGTTTCCAACAGACTTCACAACCTCTGAGGATGCCTGCCATAGATGCAGGCGAAACGTCAGGAGAGAATGCTTCTAGAACATGGCCAGACAGCCCGAAAAACTCACAACCCAGTGATTCCGGCCATGAAAGCCTTTCTCCCACCCTGGACTTGCCACAGATATATAAACCCAATTTCCTAGTTTCCAACAGACCTCACAACCTCTGAGGATGCCTGCCATAGATGCAGGCGAAACGTCAGGAGAGAATGTTTCTAGAAATATGGCCAGACAGCCCTAAAAACTCACAACAACCCAGTGATTCCGACCATGAAAGCCTCCCACAATACATTCCCATTTTCCTAGTTTCCAACAGACCTCACAACCTCTGAGGATGCCTGCCATAGATGCAGGCGAAAGGTCAGGAGAGAATGCTTCTAGAACATGGCCATACGGCCCGAAAAAACTACAACAACCCTTCGACAATAAGTTGGAAAGAAGTTTACCTGAAACGGGCAAGACTACTTTCCAAGTCAATCCGATTCAGGCAGAACTCTTTCTGCCTCTTCCAGCAATCGGCTCCGTGGTTGGGGTGGGCGAGCAGGTGCCACCCCCACCCGTCGCCCGCCCTGCCAAAAAGGGGCCGAAGCAACTCGGAGCCCATCAAAGCTCCCAGCGAAGGACGGGGTTCGGGTTTTTCCGGAGGGGCGGAGGTTCTGCCAAGAGGATGAGAGCCTGGAGGTCTTCTCCTGCTCGGCTCCCCTGCCCTCTGCACTCCAAAAGCTTTCTTCGCCATAGCAACCGCGTGTCAGAGAGAGAGAGAAAGAGAAAGGAAGGCAGAGAGAGCGAGAGAGAGGGAGAGCTTTCCCACTGGAAGCTCCCCGTCCCCCCTTTTGTGCCTTTTGCCTCCGAGCTCTTGCTTGAGCCGCTCCAGGGAAGCCTCGGCTTCTTTAGGGTCCCCCTGAGAAAGGTGGGGTCTCCCTTCCAAAGCCAGCCCAAGTCCCCATCTGACGCACCCAAGTCTTTGGATTGAAACCAACGGGACGCGGTCGGCTTCCATCCAGACACTCTGCTGGTTGGTGCGCATCTCGCCGAGGCCAACCCGTCCTCCCTTGGCTTCCAGCGCCGGGCATCCGGTTGGAGTGATTTATGGCCCCTTTCGAGTTAGAAGCTCCCCTCGACATTGTTAAGGAAATGGGAGGACAACGCAGCCAAGCCTATTGTGTTGGACTTGAGACCTAAGGGAGGACAGAAAGACTTCCTGCTGCCAACCGTCTATCCGCGTTTCTACGCCTCATAACGGATAGAGGGAGGGAGGGAAAGCCCGGGAAAGAAACGTGTTGTAAATTCGCAGAAAACTTCCGGAATTGTGGGACGCAGAGAAACCTGAGCGCCCGTCTGTTTATATGTCTATATCGACATATCAGTATCAACACTCTTCCTCCTCCCCCTCTTTCTCTCCATCGGTAAATAATACGCCATATGTATGACATATACATACATACAGAGAGAGAGAGAGAGAGAGAGAGAGAGGAGAGAATTTTCCTTTATGCGTGTGTGTATACACACACACACATACATGTATAGAGAGATAAAGAGAGAAGAGAGAGTTTTCCTTTATGTGTGTGTATACACACACACATATAGAGAGAGGAGAGAGAATTTTCCTATGTCTGTGTGTGTATATACACACGCACAGGAAAATTCTCTATGTGTCTTTGTGTGTGTATGCACACATATACAAACGTATGTGTGTATATATACATTATATATATATATATAGATAGATAGATAGATAGATAGATAGAGAGAGAGAGAGAATTTTCCTATATGTGTGTGAATGTATGTGTGTGTGTATACACACACACACACACTCATACACACACACACACACATAGAGAGAGAGGAGAGAGAATTTTTCTATGTCTCTCTGTGTATATATATACACACAAAGGGAAAATTCTCAATATGTACTTGTGTATGTATACACACATATACACATGTATATGTGTATACATACACATGCTTATATATAGAGAGAGAGAGGAGGAGAGAGAGAATTCTCCTATATGTATGTGTAATACACACACACATAGGAACATTCTCTGTATTTGTGTGTATGTATATATACACACATATAGGAAAATTCTCCCTCCCTCCCTCTCTCTCTCTATATATATATGTGTGTGCATGTATGTATACATATACATACATAGGAGACTTCTCTCTATATATGTGTATGTGTGTGTATGTGTCTATATATACACACACACTTATATATATTGCCATTCCCCCAAGACTAAGTGGCAGGTGGGTGGGAGTGATATATAGATCACATCATAAATGTTTGCGTTGGCTGCTCTTTAAAAAAAACCTGCGCAGAAGAGCTCCTCCGTGGAGTCCAAAAAGTGGCTGAACAAGTAAATCTATCATCTCTTCGGCTTCTTAATTAGGATGCACGTCTCTGGGGCAGCGGAAAAATTAATTACCATCTTAAAATGTCATTAATCATGGGCGCCACGGAGGCGAGACTGTGGGTCGGGGAGGGGAACCTGTGGCTTGGCCAGATTTTTTTGGGGGGGGGGGGGGGGGGAGAAGGAGTGGGCTGAGATGTGTGGATGAGTGTTTCTAAGCACTTCTTCGAGTGTCAGCCTTCAGTCGAGTACCCTCGGAAATGATGTTTGTATGTAGGCCAAGCTTAGTGCATTAAAGCTGGGAAAAATGCCCATCTTTTCTATACAGACACATACACAAGGGCACACAAAGGCATCCGAAGGAAATACCGGGTCAAAGGTCGGCAAAGCAACCCTCGCAAGATGTCTTCACAGCGTCAGGTGTTGGAGAAGCATAGTGTAGATCTAGAAAGAAAAGCTAATAGATTTAGTTAGTTGGAGGTTGGAGGTCAAACTACTTCAGGATCTAAATTTATGGACGACCTGAAGTCAAAATCGGGATAGGAAGCCCTATCTCTGCTAGAATGTGACAGATAGGGAAAGAAATCAGGTGGACTCGAAGCTAGAATTTGTGATTTGTTGTTGTGCCTCTTCAGCAGCTTCCCACTCAAAGAAACTCTTGCATGGATCCAGAAGAGGTTTGTCCTGGCCTTCCTCTGAGGCTGAGGGCCCTTCCAGACAGACCCTATATCCAAGGATCGGATCCCAGGTTTTATGATTTAATGTGGATTATATGAGTCCTCACTGCCACATAATCTGGGATAAACAGAAAACCAGGGATCACATCCTGGGATATAATTCCTGTCTGGAAGGCCTCTGAGAGAAGGTGATTTGCCCAAGGTCACCCAGTAGGTTTCCATGGTGGAGTAGAAGTTCGATATTTTAACTACTACACCATACTGGCCCTCTTCGTCTTGTGGTATCTGGACAACCTCCTCGGATTTTTCCTTGATTGGAAATGTGGATGCAGAAGTCTTATGGTAGCTATATCTATATCTCCAACAATGAATAAATCAGAGGAGTTCTTGTTTCTAGGGGTTTAAGAAGTGATGGCAGGCAAAGGGCTCTTCAGCGAGTATACCCAAACAACCAATTCTTCATCAGAGTAATTTTGTTATTGGGGAATATTGCAACAAAAAGGGGCATAAAAACCACGTTTTCAATTTTTTAAAAAAATCTCAACTTCAAGTCTTTTTATTAGTGCTCGTAGCAGTCCAGCTTTCTGAGGTTGATCTATGCATTTTCATTTCCACTTCACCTGCTCTGTGACCTTGGGCAGGGAGAAGATGTTCCTCCCAGGCTGCCTATGGCGAAGAGGAAGGGTAAATCAAGAGGCACCACAGGAAATTGGGTCTTTAAAGCTGCTCCCACCTCCCTCCGCCTTGCAATTCACTGGTGGCAAAGGGCGAGTAGGAGCTGAGTCGGTTTAGAGTAACTGTGTTTAGAGGCAAAGCAGAAGAGAGACTAGGCCAGGCTTAGCTGAGAAGACCTCATTTCCTAATTCCTTCACCTAAACGCCATAAAAAGGAATTGACTTTTTAAAAAATGCTTTCACACTATGATGAGAAAAAAAAATGCTAGGGGATAATTGTGAGTTCTTCTGCTTTTCTCTTTTGGAAAAGGCCACACATCCTGATAATATGGTTTATTAATAAAGATGGGGAGAAGAAGATCAAAATGCCAACTGCAGCTTTTCTTAACAGATGGCGAAACTAACAACTAAGATGGTAGTTTCTAAGGTCAAAATGAATTCTCATTTTCAAGGGGAGAAAGCTATATCCTCTGGGAGCGATTAGCACCATTACAATCAACCAGCCATTAGGCATTAAGGTTAATGAAATGTGGATTGTGCACTTAATGGGATCCGTTGAAAAAAAATCACCTCTACATCCTAAATATTCAGTGGCTGTAAAATACATGCAAGGCAATATAGACCTGGACGGAGAAGCCGGAGTTTTGTAGCGGGGAGGAAAAAAATATCTTCTATACCCCAGTGGAAGGAAGGGAGTTATATAAGAGGAAGGCAATCCAAGCAACATAGGATCAACTA